TAACACCAGTGCTTAAATCCATCCACTGGCTGCCAATTAGTTTCCGGGTACAGTACAAGGTGCCCTTTAACCTTTAAAGCCCTACATGGTTTGGGTCCATCTTATCTCAGGGACCGCCTCTCCCCGTATGAAGATTAGGTTGGCACAGACCTCCCGGAGGGCTTTTTCTGCGACCGCTCCCAGGCTATGGAATGGCCTGCCGGATGAGATCTGTCATCTCTCCACTCGTTGTGCCTTTAAAAAGGCAGTAAAGACGGATCTCTTCTGGCAGGCCTTCCCGGCCTTCCCAGAATAACATCACCGGCAATGGCAGAGTTTTACTATGCTTCTCCCACCCTGTCCTACTGTATACAGATCGGCCAAGGGGCTGTATTGTATTGTGTTTTATACTGGCCGAATGGCCGTAATAAATTGATTGATTGATTGTATTGTGTTTTAATGTATGGTTTTAATTTCTTCATAATTTAATTCTTTTTTAAGGGGTGGGAGGGTTAGGGCATGGGATTTGGGCATATTTTAACTGTTCCTTATTTTAATATGTTGTTTGCCGCCCCAATTGCCAAGCAGAGGGGCGGCATATAAATAAAAATTTATTATTATTATTATTATTATTATTATTATTATTATTATTATTATTATTATATTGCAGTCTATGAAATGTTGAAATGTCTTTAGGAATAAATGTAGTAGGTTCTAATCATAAAAACACTGAGTCCTGATGGAAAATGGAATGTTCTTTTCTCAATCTAAAAAGCATCCAACTCTGATACTCTTCTGGCTGATGTAATTGCCACAATAAATGATATTTTCCATGTCAACAATTTCAATGAGACTTTAAGGGTTAGGATTAGTGCTAGGAAATCATAGGCATTGTTGTTGTGTTTTTTTTCTGAGACATCGAGCCTTCTCTGTCAGAGAGCTCTGGTGCCACAATAAAATACAGTTCCCATGATTCCCTAACCCTAACCCTAACCCTTAAAGTGGACTCAATTTGCACTATTTCTAGCAGTCTGCAAATCTCTCTCATTTCCTTAACTGTTCTTTTTGTTACTGGTGTGAGCCTTTAAAGTCATTTCTGACGTAGCACCCTAAAGCAACCCTGGGCCTTTCCAGGCAAGAATTGTTGTGGAAGGGTGCCATTACCTTCTTCTGAAGCTGAGAGAGTTTGACTCACCCACGGTCTCCCAGTGGGTTTCCATGGCCAAGCAGGGATTTGAACCCTGGTCTCCAGAGCTGTAGTTGAACACTCAAACCACTACACCATTCTTGCTCTGCCCTTCACTTTAATGTAAAATTAATAGCAATTTTTTCAATTATATGTATTAGTCAAAGATAACAGAAATGATTGTGGGTTTTCAACTGCCAAACAAATAGATTTCCTTCATATAAAAAAAATCAGCTATCACTGTGTAATACAGATCAAAATTCCTCAAAACAGATTAAGAGAGCTTCATGACACATCACTATAACACATAACACTCTTCATTGAGATTGTGCTTCACAATTATGGTCGGACAGAAAGAACAGATATGATTACTGTATGTACATACACAGTTCAAACAGGATTTAGTGAAGAAGAAGAAGAAGAATAGAAGTAGTTATTGGGAAACATGAGTATTGAGTAAATTTTCAGCTATGTTTCTGAGCTGCAAGTCACAGAAATTATACTGTCTTTGTTTATTGTGAGATAATGTAGTTGAAAGGACACAAAAGGGTTGCATTGGCTTTTATTTAATGTGTGTGTAAAGATGGATACATGTAGAGCTGGTGGAAATAACACTGAATTATGTCCTGTCAAGTGAACATGATTCATTCAGCACTACAAATATTGATTTGACAGGTCACCTTCCCCTTCCGCACTTGCTCGTCGCTATTGGAGTATGATGAACTTGATGATATTCTTTTGTTTAAGCTCCCAACTTGAAAGTGCCTAGTTATACTTAGTTGTCACATAGTTATACATAGTTGTAATTAGTGCACTGTGATTTGGAATTTCAATTTCAGCACAGCATTATATTTCTAAATTTCCTCCACCTCCCCTCACACCAATTAGTGTCAATTGGGCACACTAAAATACAAGAAGTTGACAGGCAAACTTTGACATAATGCTTCCCTTCCTCTTCCAGACCAAGATATAGTGCCCTACTATTTGTTTTTGATAAATGGCTGCATTTAATAATGTTTGTTTGCATATTTGTTCATCATGCTAATGAGCATAATTACTTTTATTCAAGTCATAAAGCCACTATCGCATTTGATATATAGGCACGTTCCTTAAATATGTGTCACCAATATTTTGCATGCAATGGTCAAGCTGGTGATGCTTTTGTAGATAGGCAGTTAAGCTTTCCATGTTTGTGTAATTATGCTGTTTTCCATTGAGAAACAGGATTTGTTTTTAGTGGTGACAGGGGTTTTCCACAGTACAGATTGGTTTGCTCAGACTAGGCTGAGATTTTTGGTGTGGGGAGTACCTGGACTCATTTCTGAACTAATCCAAAATTCACGCTTCTTCTGTGATCCTATCATCTCCCCACCACTATTAACACCTGGCATGCTGCTGTATTGTCCAATAAGTTCAATTACATAACCTCCAACTGTCCCAATTTGGCAGAGACATTTCCAATAATCCTCTGTCATCCTAATTTTTCAAAATGTCCCAGATTCTCTCTCCTCTACACACTTCCACCCTTTCTTCTTAGCTTGCAAATTGAATTTACAATACAAAAATAGTTTGCACTCTTTTAACTCATGGAGATGGGGAGAGATAGATGATGCCCTTCCCAGTAGATTGAGGTAAAAGCAAACATCTGTGAAAGGTTGTAGAGTATGATATAGGAGTGAGACAGACAAGAAAAATAAAGTGGTTTCCAGATGAAAACTGGACCAAGCTGCACTCCAGGGCTAAAAACTGGAGCAAAAAGAAGCTGGGATAGCCTAACTCAAGGCAGAAAATGCACATTTTTTCACTTGTATATAAACTCCCCAATGCAAGTCTGGGGCTGCAGCAAAGCAAAGAAATGGAAGTGCAACAACTCCAATGGATGCAATTAGAACATACACAAACCAGACAATCCAAGAGGGGGGCATGGGGTAAAGGGGGTATGTGGGGGTGTATCCATGATTATGCTTTGCCAATATATCACTTACACACCTATGCCCTGTACCAATGGAGCATCACACATGGCCATGCAGTGGGATGGCATCTGGGTGGCCGTGGGAGGTACTTGGAGGTCTCAAGTGGTGTGTTTGTGTGATGGTGTGTATGCATGGTGGGAAGGCAACAAAAAAAATTACCCAGTGGCATGTCTTGATGGTGCT